TTTGAAGCACTTCTCCCAAGGGGCTGGCTATCTCTAGGCACCATTCTGGGGACCTTTTTCCCCTGCTCTCAGAACTCCTATTCCCCATCCCTCCAGAACGCTGCCGTGAACTCCCCAGCTCACAGGTTACCGCACTCTGATGCTCGGATTTTGGCCCCTCAGCAGTACTACACTCCTATCTCTTGGATTAATAGGGGTGCACTGCTGGCACTTCAAGTGCACAGGGTGCCGCACACAGCAGCTCCTCCCGAGACTCTTCCTTTCACCAACACAGCTGCTCCATCCGTCCCTGGCCGTTGCCCCTCGCGGCACAGCGGAGCCACAGCTCAGCACTCAGCGCTCGCTTCGCACTGACAGCGCGTCTCAGTCACATACACTCAAGAGTCTCAACCGACCCCAAGGAAAGAGTTAAATCCCCTTACCTTGGTCCGTGCACAAAGTTACTGGGTCGCCATGGCCAACAGCCGTGCCTGCCTGCCCTTGGCTTTCACAGAGCCCCTCCTCTATGTAACAGTCTCGGTTACATAATATCGGCATCCCAAGGAGTCACCTCACCACCCAGACAGCACCGCTGCCATCAGCGGGGTGCACCTATCCTGTGCAGGGCAGTAGGGAAACTCCCAAAGAGGCGATCATAATCCCGGACGAGCCCCCAGATTGTTGGAAATATCCAAGTAATTTTGTCAGGACGGTATCTCTGATAAAAGCAGATTTTATTCGCGATTGCAATGGCAGGCGTCCCACAAGTAGGAGCGCGCCTATGGACACATCATGACAGCCTTTAGACCCTGTTTTCTCCCCCTTGTCTCCCCCCTCCCCTGTTTCCCCACTGGCTGGGTACTCCAGGTTCACAATCTTACAGAAGGTTTACATTTGCTATTTACTTGTTCATTTATTTGTTATCTGGTGTCAGTCAGCAGCCATCCTGTTGTTTCCAAGATGTCTCAGTGCTCTCCTTGCCTTGATATGGTGATTTTCTTTAAAGTCATCATCGTTAAACAAAGAGCACTGGGGATGATATCAGGCCTTCCCAATGTCTCTTCAGGTGCTTCCCTGGGCAGGCCATCACTTGTTCTCTGGTTTGCCCTCCTGCAGGATATTCTTGCAGTGTGTAGGACAAAATATACATCTATACACCTATATACAGAGTGTGCGTTCCTGGGAAGGTCTGTCTAGAGGATAAGTGATGTAAACTCATCAGAGATCTTCCCCAAGTTAAGTAGAAGGACTCCCAAAAAGAACTACGATAGTGGAGATCATGAAATAAAAATAATATTATCCAATTCTATCGCAGAAACAACATTTGATTCCCACATGCTGATAAGGAATTGCTAAACAAGAACAGAGCTATGCCTGTTCCTTGTAGACGCACATTTCCCTGCACTGATTGGTATTTCCAGATCCGGTACCACTCCGATTAGCCACAGTGTTTGATTAAAGAATTGAAAGTACCTTTTAAACCCCACAGGCCAATGAATCAGCGTTGAATTCCACCAGTACAAGCAAGATCAGAATGTGAGCACTAGGCCATGCTCAGATGTGGGGAACAAACCCAAACACGCCACCCTCCTCTTACCCAAGGTTTACTATGCATTTCTGCCAAAAACTCCACCTGAATTTACCTCATGCTCTTTGCTGGAAGCAATGGCAGCATTCGCTACTGTAGTTTGGCTTTGTAGCCAAAACAAAGCTTTCCTAATTTTTGCTCTTCCGAGCTAAAGAAACAGCTTTGTCTGGGAGAAGGAATATGTGCAGCTGAAGGTGATAGGAGCTGCAGGTGGGAGCACAGTCAGATCAAAACAGGACTTTTGGAAATATCCAATTAGTGTGCTAGCCCCCAAAGCTGAAGATGAGTGAACCTTACCGAACAGCTGAGCTTCAGCAGCAGCTATAGGGCTCTAACAGGCTAGAGATGGCTACAGAAAGTGTGGAGACCTCAGGGCAAATGGAAAGTAGCTGATGATAGCAGGTAACTGCATGATAAAAAGTTGCTGTAGAGGTGGATGAAGCTGATAACAGACGGAGAAGGCAGCTCCCTTCACATATCATAGAATCACAGAATGGTAGGGCTGGAAGGGCTTAAAGCCCACCTAGTCCCAACCACTGCCATGGGCTGGTTGCCCCCTACCAGCTCAGACTGCCCAGGACCCCATCCAGCCTGGCCTCGCACACCTCCAGGGACAAATCATCCTCAGCTTTTCTGTGCCACTGCCTTACCACCTTCTGGGTGAAACATTTACCCCTAACAACTAACCTAAATCTCTTCTCTTCTAGTTTAAAACCATTACCCTTGTCCTTCCATGCAACAAGGGATGGGGAGGTGAGTAGTTGGAGTTGTGTTGGTGGCTCTGTGAGCTAAGGGAAGGGAGAAGACTATGAGAATCAGCTTGAAATCAATACCCTTCTCCTTGCCAGCATGCTTAAGCTGATCACCTTACTGTTTGTATAGCACAGACATCCTACCTGTTGTGTGTTCATGTCTTCTTGAACAAGAGACATCCTATGCTGTCTCAGATAAATGCTGTAGTGTGTGCACCACCAAGTAATTTTCAGGAAGGAATTGCTTTCATGACAACCCTTGATAGCGTTTTCACATCTGAAATATCCTTTGCAGCACAGAAGCTGCTGCAGTAGGTTTGGGAAAGATGATGACAGGAGATGCATGACTGGACAGATGTCCTGTAACCAGTGGGGATCCACTGGGACTGACTGAAGTTGTGGGTGCCCCATCCTTGGCTCGGCCCAAGGGCAGGCTGGATGGGTCTTCATGCAGCCTGGGCTGATGGGAGATGGTGGGCAGGGGTCGGGGCTGGGTGGGCTTTCAGTTTCCTTTCAACCCAATCCACTTTGGGACTCCTTGATAGACTCTCATGCAAAATAGCTGTGGAACTCCTTGCCTCAATTAGTTGCAGATGTGGAAGCTCATGTGGGTTTGAGGAATTACTGGAGGCTCCTAGAAGGATTTCACATTAAATCACAGCTGTGGGCAGAGGCTGCCCATCTTGTTACCTATACAAAAAGAAAGTGGTGCTTAGAGCTCACTTGGCTTCACCTAGCACCAGCCATGGGGAGCACTGACAGCGCTGACAATGTAGGGGGGTGTCCTTGAACTCCAGTGGGGGAAACTGGTCCTCAGTGGGACCTCAGATAGACAGAAGCCCATCATGGTCACAAAGCACTACGTTAGAACTATATAGGAACTCTAAGAAAGAAGGGGACAGATTTTTTAGCAGGATCTGCTGTGACAGGACGAGGGGAAATGGTTTTGAACTAAAGGAAAGGAGATTTAGACTGGGTATAAGGAAGAACTTCTTTACACTAAGAGTGGTGAGGCACTGGCACAGGTTGCCCAGATGGTGCCCCATCCTTGGAGACACTGAAGATGAGGCTGTATGGGCTCAGAGCACTGATGGAGCCATGGGTGTCCCTGCTCATTGCAGGGAGTCGGACCACATGGCCTTTCAAGGTCTTTTCCAACCCAAACCATTTTTGTGAGTATGTGATTTTGAGCACATTTCATAGAAGGATGTAGGAGGATGGGGCTGCAAGAGGCCCCAGCAGAGCTCTGGCCCCCAAATCCATCCCAGGCTGAGCAGAGCCACAGAGCCTTCAGTGTGATCCCTAGACACAGCACAGAGCTTCTCCCCCCTCTGGGGCAGCTCCTCCTCATGGCTCCTTCCTCTCAGACCTAGAGCTTTCCGTCAGGAGCTTGGAGGTTTTTTTGGTTATTATGTAAATGCTCTGCTACCATCTAGTGCTGGAGGGGAGAAGGGCTGGGGAGAGCCAGGGCTCAGCTCCTGGTGTGAGTGGGGTCCGCTGGTCTGGGGCTTCCTGGAGCCACGAAGGTCCTGAATCACGAACGGCCTGGGTTGCAAAGGCCCACAGTGCTCATCCAGTTCCAACCCCCTGCTGTGTGCAGGTCACCAACCAGCAGCCCAGGCTGCCCAGAGCCACATCCAGCCTGGCCTTGAATGCCTGCAGGGATGGGGCATCCACAGCCTCCTTGGACAACCTGTTCCAGTGCCTCACCGCCCTCTGGGTGTGAAAAAAAGAGGTAACAATTCAACAAAACTCAATAAAATATAAAATATAAACAAAACCCAGTGAAAATGAAAGGCCTACAAAGAATAGAAGCGGCAACAAATGACAAAACTCAATAAATGATCAAGAAATCCTCTAAAATAACAAGAAAAACAGTAAAAATGACAACAAAACTCAATAAAACAAGAAAATCCAGTGAAACATCAACAGAAATTGTAAAGTATTGTGAAAAACAGTAAAATACCCATACATACAGTTAAAATGAGTAAACAAGTTAAAACCCTGTGTTAGTCAAATCCATGTAAAGGATCAATTAAGAATATTATAAAAATGACACAACTCAATAGAAGATCAAGAAAACCCAATAAAATATCAATAAAAATAACAGTAAAACATCAACAAAATCCTGAAAAATATCAATGCAAACAGAAAAATATTTAAAATATGTAAATAATAAATAAAATTTATATATTTAAAATATAAAAATGGTTATAAATAGTAAAACATGAAAACCCAAACATAAAGCCAGTAAGAATCAACAAGTCCCCACAAATATCTAGAGAACTCTGTGAAATAGCAACAATGCCCAGCGAAAGTCTACAAAACCCTGTAGAAAACCATCAAGAAAAACGCTTTAAGCCAAAAAAACCTCAACAAAATACCAAGACAGCCCTGTAAAATATTAACAAAACACGGTGAAAGTCAATCAAATCCAATCAAATGCCACAAAATCCCAGTGAAGTACAAACAAAACAGCTACAAGCAAGGAACCCCAATTGGAAATCACTGAACGTCCAACGCTCACTCCTGGGTTGTGCCGCACTCCGCTGCCTGTGCTGCCACAGCGCCCCCTGCCGGCTGGCGGAGTTACCGCGTAGATCTCTAAGGCACGCGCAGCTCGCTTCTCCCTCTTCCCCGATGGTTTTCCGTCGCTTTCCGGCAGCGCGACGCTTTTACGACAGGAGGCGTAGCTTTACGGTAGCGGTCCGTGTGTGAGCCGTGAGGGAGCGGAGGCGGCGGGATGGGGCAGAAGCGGAAAGGTACCGGGCGGGAGGGGCCGTGCAAGGCTTAGGCCCTGTGTGCGTGTGGTAGGGCAGCGCTCGAGGCCGGGCTGGATGGGGTTGGGAAGCTTTCAGGAGCTGATGGCGGCGCCTGGTGCCGAGCCGAACCCTTTGCGTTGCATGCGTCACCGTGTGGTGCGCACGCCTTGCCATGTCTGCTGCGTTATCACAGCCTTCTGCTGGTGGGCCTTGAGGCACAGAATCATCCTGCTTGGAAAAGGCCTCTGGGATCACACAGAGAGCGGTGAGGCACTGGAACAGGTTGCCCAAGGAGGCTGTGGATGCCCCATCCCTGCAGGCATTCAAGGCCAGGCTGGATGTGGCTCTGGGCAGCCTGGGCTGCTGGTTGGTGACCTGCACACAGCAGGGGGTTGGAACTGGATGAGCACTGTGGGCCTTTGCAACCCAGGCCATTCTGTGATCACCAAGTCCAATGCCAGCCATACCATCATGCCTAGTGACACATCTTTCACTGCTACATCTGCTCCTCCAGGGACAGCAATACCACCAGCTCTCTGTGCAGCCTCTGCCACTCCAGCACTGCTCTTGCCAAGCACTTTCTTCCTAATATCCAACATGAATCTCCCCTGGTACAACTTGAGGCCATTTCCTCTCATCCTATTGCTGTTACCTGTGAGAAGAGGTGACCCCGAAGGTCGAGTTTGTCTTGGAGCATCAATGGGTATGCACATCATTGTTTATCTTGCTCTCATTTCAGATCTCAGCCATGCAGAGCTGATGATGATGACAATAGCTGACATCATAAAACAGTTAATTGAGGCTCACGAGCAAGGAAAGGATGTGAATCTGAACAAGTAAGTCACTCTGATGACACTGAAGAGCAGGTTCATAAGTGTTGAACATTTCCTGTGCAGTCATTTATGTTCAGTAGTGTTTTTTACAATGTTTTATTTTGATAGAATCATTTGAGTTGGAAGGGATACTTCAAAGCCATCTGGTCCCGTACCCTGCACTGAACAGGGACACCCACAGCTCCATCAGTGCTCAGAGCCCATCCAGCCTGATCTTTAATGTCTCCGAGGACGGGGCACCACTGCCTCTCAGGGTGACCTGTGCCAGTGGCTCATCCCCCTAACTGTAAAAAACATTTTCCTTATATCCTGTCTAAATCACTCCTCTTCTAATTTGAAATCATTTCCCCTTGTCCTATCACAGCAGATCCTGCTAAAGAGTTTGTCCCGTTCCTTTTCTCAGCTCCCTTTAGGTAGAGAAAAGCTGCTCTCAGGTCTCCCCTCAGTCTTCTCTTCTCCAGGCTGCACAGCCCCAGCTCTCTCAGCCTGTCATTGTAACACGGGTGTTCCATCCCTGGGATCCTTTTTGTGGCCCTCCTCTGGATGTCCTCTAACAGGTCCACCCCTTTCTTCTCACAGGATAGTCTCGCTTCTTTTGCCAGTATCTGATGATAAGGGTACTGAGATCTGGTGATTATTATCGTGACTTGAAATCATGTACTGCTTATTCATTGGTAGTGCCCAGAGTGCCACACAAGTTGTATTAAAATGGATTAGCTCAGTTGGACGTTCTGAGATCATCTGGTCCACCTGCCTGATTGCACCATGGCTAGCCAAAACTTATAGCTTACTAATGAGGGCATTGTCCAGTGCTGCACTGTTGAAAAGCACTAAGAGAGATGTCCTTACCTTTTGGTGTTTCCACCTGTGTTCATCTTACCAATTCCAAAGCCAGTTCTGCCAGGGAAGAGAGATTAATTTATAGATGAAGTTTAAATCAAACCTTCTTAGCAGTGAAGTTGCTGTTTAAAGAAATCTTTCTTTATGTATGTAGAATACTAAAATACGTAAAATACTCAATTGTTGTCCCAATGTTCCTATGTCAACATGCTTTGGAGTTTATTTTCTGTAACTTAAGTACCCAGCACAGCAGTTGCAAGGAATTACACTCAGCTTTGAAGGCCAACTGGGTGAGCCCACCTGAGTCTCCAACAAACAGAACAGTAATGCTGTGGAATGGAGGTACATAAGTCTGAATGGGGTCATTAATGGCGAGGCATTTTTGCTTTCAGGCTGAAAACCAAGACCTCAGCAAAATATGGACTCTCAGCACAGCCACGGTTGGTTGACATCATTGCTGCTGTCCCACCACAGCACCGCAAGGCTCTGGTGCCAAAGCTGAAGGCCAAGCCCATAAGGACGGCTAGTGGGGTAAGCACAGAGCTGTTCTCCCTGCCTGTCCACCAGCATCCTTCTCTGGTCTCAGTTGTGGTAGGTTTAATTGTTTTCACATATATGGGTATTGGATGACCAGAAGCTTTAATGAACGTGTGCTGGCTGCAGTGCCAGCTTCCAGCTTGGCTTTTGGTGTTGTGCCCAAGGAGCTAATGCTTTCAAAGCATTTGGGAGAGGAAAAAGAAGAGTGCAGATTTTTACTTCAGAGCAGTGTATCTGGCTTTTTACTTGCTGCAGAAACGTTGTGGCTTAGTTGTTAGACCCTCTCAGTGCACAAAGGTGAAGTGCTAGGATCAGTGCATTTCTTCAAAAGGTCTTTCAAATTGGAAGCAATAATGGAGGTACAGCTGACATTCAGCTGCGTGCTTGTAAGTTTTCTGACTGTACATATAGCATGCCTAAGCTGAAGACAAAAAGAACAGTGAAACCACCAGAAAGCAAAATCCCAGCAGTGTTCAGTTTTTATAAATCAAATATCTGAATTTCGTTAAGAATTGCTTCTTTTGGTTTCTTCTTTCTTATTTGTAGTTACAGAATATTTCATTGAGCTCTTACTCCAACCAGAGTTTCTGAAAACTGGAAATGTGGTATCTGAGATGGGTGCTTCAAATGAGAAGACACCAGAAACCTTAATTGTGTCTCTCTTATTCCCCTTGCTCCTGTAAAAAGGGAAGGTGGCTTCTTCTGTTATGCTTACATTTGATGTGTGAAAAGCTGTGTGAGATCAGCCTGCAAAAAAGGCTCATCTCAGTGAGGTGGAAGGAGGAAGCTGTTTTTATTGTCCTTCTTTTGTCTTTTTCTTTCTTGCCATCTCCCCCCTCTTCATCTTGCAGGTGTTGCTATTGGCACACTCTCACCCTTGCACTGTGTTTCTTGTGTGCTAGGTGGTCCTGCTCAATACCTGCATGTACACCAGGTTTCTTTTCAGTAGGGTTAATCACATTTCATAGGACACCCAGGCCTTCATAACACACTACCAGCTCTTTCTGAGCTGTGAAAGTACTTACTAATAATAGGTTTCCTATTTCTTGATATGTTTGCAATCTTCTTTTTCTGAAGAGTTAATGTGCAGATATTTTCGGTGGCAGACTGAGCAGAGAACATCCTTAAATAGCATCTCCAGATGCACGTGTTTACATAGCCATCAGCATGCACTTCATTTTTGTTACTTCAGAAGCAATGACTGTAATTTCTCTCTGCTCGTTACAGATTGCCGTCGTGGCTGTGATGTGCAAACCACACAGGTGTCCACACATTAACTTCACAGGCAACATATGTGTGTAAGTATGACTGATTGGGTGACCTAAGAGAGCAGTGTTTCCCAGTGGTTTTGTATAAGTTGGTATGAATTGCAGCAGTAGAGACAGGCTTCCTTTCTGCACCAGTGCACAGTTGCAGATTGCTGATAGCTGGATGTCACTCATTGCAAGTTAACCTTTTTACCATTTTTCCTTAAGCAGAAAACCTTTCATTAGCCAAACTTAGTAAATACACCTTTGTGGAGATAAGAATCAGAAGAATATGTGAATGACCCAATATAAGTTATAGTGCTGTGAAGGTCTGTGGTGTGTTGTGCTCGTGAGTAGGGTGGGTGTGTGGCAAGATAGGAGAAAGCTCAACAAAAAAGAAACAGGGCATAATGTAAAAAGTTTGAGAACTGTTGAACTGAAACCCACCTGAGGAGGTGCAGGTGTTGTCTACCAAAAACTTGCTCAGAGCTGGCATTGCTTGGCTCTGGAACAAAGTGAGAGCACAGATGGAAGACCTGTATCTGCCAAGAGCTTGTGGTATTAAGGGAATAGTTTCAGAGCTTTATTTGAATTGAGGAACCCAAGCTCAATTTACCTTGAAATATGTTGCCTCTGTTTTTTGACCTACAAGTCTGTGCTCCTGAAGTCTCATCTGTTTTTTGTGGTTTTTTTTTTCTTCCTGAGCATATCAATTCATCTGTTTAAAAACACTGCTTTTCTCTTCCACTTGTGACTTCTGAGACATCAGTGCATCTCACTACCAGCTGCCTAACAGGGCGAGCTGGCTTCATTCTTTCTTCTTTCACATGAGCAGCCGTGGTGTTTGAGATGTTGCAGGTAATGACGTACATGAAATCTCTTCACTCCAAGTGCCCAAATTTCGCCAGCAAATTAATTTGACCCTGGGAATTTGGTCATGAATTTTATAATGGTGACAGATGATTTGGGCTGAGTTTGCAGGGCAGGCAGTAAGGAAACGAATCCATTGTGCTGTGAATTACACATTTCTGGTTTGATGGAGGTGGCGTTCTGACAGCTCCATTCCCTGTCTGTTGGCTGTGTTCAGTGCATGCACTGTCAGCCTTCCTGCCTCAGGTTGTGTTTGACTGCACGATGACTGTAGATGGGCCATTAATAGCTCTCAAAAGAAAGCTGAAGATACTTCAGAATAAATTTATTTTCTGGTAATTAATTACTGTCTGCCATCTACCAGTCCTCTCACTGCTAGCAGTCGTGCTGTCATTGCTGTGAGTCTTTCTTGCTCTGTCAAAGAGTTTCAGATAAGACAGCAGTTGTCATTTAATACCAATCATAGAATAGCTGGAGTTGAAGGGACCTTTAAAGGCCACCCCCTGCAGTGAGCAGGAGCACCCACAGCTCCATCAGTGCTCAGAGCCCTGTCCAACCTGATCCTTGGTGTCTGTAGGGACTGGGTACCACCACCTCTCCGGGCAAGTTGTTTCTGATCATAAAGCTGCTCTTTTCAAAACTGAATAATCTGTAACTATTTGTCCAAAACTGTAGAGCAGCTCCCTGACATAAGTCCATGTTCCAGAACTGTGCTCACTGTGCGTTTTACTTCTAGTAAGTTTTACCAGCTTGTTTTGTGTGGCCGTAGTCATTTGACAGGTCTGGGTTGGTTTTGACTCCTCATTCTCACTGTGTTCCCCTGCCTTTCTAAGGAGAGTTGGGATTGTCAGAGCAGTGCTTGCTGTGTGTACACCCTTCTGTATTATATTTTGTACTTCAGACAGATAACAGTTGTTGCATCTGCATGAGTTTGATGCCTGTTTTTCTGTCTTTTAATATTTGCAGATACTGCCCAGGTGGCCCTGATTCTGATTTTGAGTATTCAACGCAGTCTTACACTGGATATGAGGTATTTCTTCTGTCTGCCACGGTGCTGTGCCTACTCTCTCTATAAGCTTGGGGTAGGCTGCTCATTATTACTACAAATTCACTCGTGTTTCAAGAACAAGAAACAAAACCAGACTTTGTAAATGCAGAGGCCTAAAGCAGCTGATCTACAGGACTGGAACTTCTTCGTTATTGGAGCACTTGTTGTTTTCTTTTTTTTTCTCCCTGGCCTCACTTCTGTTGATACTTTCTGTGTGGACTATGCTATAGAACAGCCTGTGATTCTGAGCAGGGCAAGTGCTGCTGCTGTACTGCAGCTGTGTGGGACCTGCTGGTGTGAGAACAGCTGTTGGCTTGAATTTCCAGCTGTGGCAGGTGATGAGTGAGTAAGAGCAGTTGAAGGTGACATTACTGACTCCCCCGGGGCACTGCTGCGTGCAGCTTGTAGAATCACAGCTCATATTCATTTCAACAAGAGTTATCAGTCTGTGTCAGATTTTTCCTAACTAAACAGTTCAGCAGAAACACAAATGTTTGCCTGTGACTCTGGAAGGGTTTGAAGGAAGGGTATAGAGAAGGCAGAGCCATATCCCTTCTTGGAGCTGCCCACTGGAAGGATGAGAGACAATGAGCAGGTCTGGGAACATGGAAAGTTGTGACTTAACATAAGAATATTTTAACACGAGGGTCATCAAACACTGCAGTAGGGATCCAGGAGGTTTTGGCATCTCAGTCCTTAATGGTAGTCAGACATAAGCTGGACAGTGACCCGAGAGCATCCTGTGTTACTGGACCTGCCTTCAGCCCCGCCAAACCTACAGGACCCCAAGGTGAAGCTCTGGCAGAGAGCCACTTGTTGAAGGTAGTGCCTCTGGAATTCCATCTGTGCCCTTAGATTATCCTTATCTGAGAATGTGTCTCTGTGTCTGCAGTGATATCTCACTGGTACATTTAGTGAGCTAAACCAAAATAGCTCTCTCCTTTTGTCTGCTGAAAGTGTAACAGCAGAAGATGTCATTGTGACTAAGTTATTCTGACTACACAAAAGGCTCACAGCCATTACACAGATAGGAAGTTGTAAAATGAGATAAAATGCAGTCTGGGTTAATTTGGTAACTGGTGATGCAGCATCCTTTTAGTATGATTTTTTTTTCCCAGTGGTTGTTCATTTCTCAGTGACTTGAAATTCATTTCTTAAACATTAGCACAAAGCAGAACAATCCTGCATATATGTAACTGCTTCACAATTCAAGTTGTTTTGGATATGTTTTAGTCATTTGTTTAGTACCATCAGCATGTGGGAGTTGTGCAGTTTAAATGAGTCCTTATTCTTCAGAGCTGTTAATGTAACTGGTATGAAATAACAAACCAATGCATGATGTGCAGGTTCTTTGGAACCTTATCTTTGAGGATTGCTAATAGGCTTCCATCAGCTAGTCATACAGAAGTGAAGGGGCTTCAAATGAAGGACTGTATTTAGCTTAAGGAGTGTTTAACTGAGCTGTAGAGGAGTGTCCTTGGATAACTGTTGGGTGAGTGAAGAGAAATTGAAATGAGCTGCAAAGCATCCATTCCTGTACTGAAAATTGTCTGTTCTTTTCTTTAACAGTCTTTAATTTCATTAACTTCTGCTATTCTTTTTTTTTTTAATTATCTTTGTGTTTTTGTAGCCTACATCCATGAGGGCCATTCGGGCTCGGTATGACCCCTATCTCCAGACAAGACATAGAGTGGAACAGGTACATTTTTACAGTGAAAAGGAAGCATGTTGTGTTTGGGATGAAAATGATGATAATGCTTTGAATTGCCCCAAATGGTGCATGGGGTGGGTTGTGATGAGCAGCACTTCTTCCAAGTGGAAGCCAATTGCTAGCAGTATACCCCAGCTGTCACTAGAGGTTGGGGAAGATTCAGATTAGATATCAGGAGGAAATCTGCCACAGAGAGAGCAGCGAGGCCCAGCACTACTGCCCAGAGATGTGTGGGTGCCCCATCCTTGCAGGTGCCCAAGATCAAGCTGGCTGCAGCTCTGGGCTGCCCAGGGCAGGCTATTGGGACTGGATAGGCTTTAAGGTCCCTTCTAACCCAAGCCATTCTGTGGTTCTGTGGCTCTGTGATGGTGGGGGCAGTATATTGGATCTCTCTGTGAATGAGCCAGATGGTGGGGCAGAGCACACAGTCACCAAGTACGCAGACAACACAGAACTGAGGGCACCCAGCTGGGAAGTAGCATGGTAAAAAAGGTCCTGGTGGACACCAGGCTGAAAGTGAGCAGTGCTGTGCCCTTGTGCAAAGAAGGCCAGCAGCCTTCTGGGCTGCATTGGAAGTGCTGCCAGCAGGACAAGGGAAGGATCCAGCCTCTCACCTCAGCGCTGCTGAGGTCATGTTTGCAGGGCTGTGTCCAATTCTGGGCTCCCCAGGAGAAGGGCACGAGGCTCCCTCTGAGCAGGAAGTGCTCATGTGCTATGTGGGTGGTGGAGCACTGGCACAGGGACCCAGAGAGGCTGTGCAATGTCTGTCCTTGGAGATCCTTGATGCCTGTCTGACCACAGTGCTAAACAAATTGCTGCTTTGAGCACAGAGGTTGGGCTGTGTGACCTTCACGGGTCTCTTTCAACTTCAACTTTTCCATTTTCTGTAAGTCTAAGTCAGCCTGGTGGAGCTGTAGGTGTCCCTGGGCATTGCAGGAGGGTTGGAGCACATGACCTCTGAAGGTCCCTTCCAACTCAAACAGTTCTATGGTTGATCCCCATGGAGGAATTACTTTCAGACCTTTGGTTGTCTAACTGTTGTTGTTTCCACTAGATAACTAACGAATTTTGAACCTCTCCTAAGGTGTCATCTGTTTTGAACAGCACTTGATTACTGATGGGAGAACTGATGGGGGAACAATATTGGAGAGTTTTTATCCCACTTACTAGTTCTTGATCATTGTTTACCTGTAGAATATATTTCTGAAAGTGCCTCCCAAAATGATTTTTTTACTTTTGTCTTCACTGGAGGATTGAAAGACCTGATTTTCAGTCCTGTGATTTTCAGTCCTGCTCCTGATTTGCTCTTTACCTCCAAATCTTTGGAAAATTCGCTGTGGATTCAGTGTAGTCTCCTTTTTCTCCCACAAGCTTTCAAGGCCAATTCTATGTGGGGTGAAGCAGAAGTGAGGAAATTTCCTATGGCCATATTTAAGTCAGCTTCAAATTGAAACACTTATAAGTACACTGGCAAGCTGCTGTGCTCAAATTACTCTGCTTTGTCAAGAAAGTCTGTTGCATGGCACAGAGTCTGTACTGTGCAAGAAGAATTAACCTCTGGGTTTCTTGAAGGACTGTAAGAAGCCTTTACAAAAGTATTAATGGTTTATCATTGGTAGGGGATAGGACAGTTATTCAAACTGGTCGTTTTTCTTGTAGCTGAAGCAGTTGGGTCACAGCGTGGATAAAGTGGAGTTCATTGTGATGGGTGGAACTTTCATGGCCTTGCCTGAAGACTACAGGGATTACTTCATCCGAAACCTTCACGACGCGCTGTCGGGTCACACCTCCAATAACGTAGCAGAGGCTGTCAAGTAAGGACTTTGGTTTTTGTGAACGTAATTATTGAAAAGTATTCTTGAGCTGCTGTAAGAGGATACAGAACACAAATATTTAGGTCTCATTTTTGGACAGGCAAGATGTATCCCAGTATATATTTAGGCATGGAATATTTATAGCTCAACTTGCAGCATTGCCGTGCGTCCTGCACAGCGCTGTGGTTTATCTGTTTTCTCAGGTAGCAAGTGCTAAGCTTTTTCTAATTTTCTGGCATTCCATCTGGACTTCAGCCTTTTTATGCCTCATCACCTTGATTTGGAGCTGTGACGAATCACATTGCCATGGGATTTATTGCCTTTCACTGGGAAGGGGAACTGATCCCGGCTTGGAGGGAGGCCGGACGTCAGCTCCCATAAGGGATGACTCAGCCCAGAGAGCGTCACTGCTCCGGAGCTCTGCGCCCCTCACGCTCTCCAACGCAGTTACCCTTGCAGTGATTGAGTGACAGGGAGATGTTCTTCTCATTTTACAGTAGATGAAGTGAAAATCAGAGGCTGTTTCACAGACGCGTGCTTCGGTTCGTCAAATACACAACTTTCACTGCGTTTTGCAGGGCAGAACTGAGAATTGAAATGAGAAGGATGTGATGTTTTGGAGCTGTTAAAGCTAGGCGGTCGTCGCTGCTGACAGTCTGAGTTTGTTCGCTGCCTTGTTGTCATAACTCAGTGCAGTGGTTTTTCCTTGATACCACTGTCAGCTTCTGAAGCAATCGGTTTTAAAACTGGTTAGGACTAGCCTTTGTCTGGCCTCATGTCTGCCTTCATCTTTCAAAGCTGTAATTTCATTTGGTTTTCCTCTGGAGGGCAGCAAACGCTTCTGCTCTTTTATTTTTTTCATCATCACAGAATGGCCTGGGTTGCAAAGGCCCACAGTGCTCATCCAGTTCCAACCCCTGCTGTGTGCAGGTCACCAACCAGCAGCCCAGGCTGCCCAGAGCCACATCCAGCCTGGCCTTGAATGCCTGCAGGGATGGGGCATCCACAGCCTCCTTGGGCAACCTGTGCCAGTGCCTCACCACCCTCTGGGGGAAAAACTTCCTCTATTTTTTCTTCCATTTTTAGTATCATTATTTTCTCATTCAGTGACCAGATGAAAAATGCTGCGCTGCTCTTTGCAAGAGGAGCAATCAAGGCCATAAAATCACTAACAGGTTGGGAAACAAACTGTGTTCTCTCGCTCTGATTGTGAGCAGCTCATTACAGGAGAGGGGAGGAGTTTGCAGACTGGCTGTTCAGTTTGGTGCCGTGCCTTTGTGTACATCAGGATGTGGTTATTCAGTGCTTTCTGCTGCAGGTGCCTCGCTAATATTACTGGAGATGAAATTGCTTTTGGGGTAGTCTGTCCTTTGCTTTGCAGATGACTGACGAAACTAATTACGACACAGGCTGTGTCACCAAGTAATTTTAGGTGCATATGAAAACAAAGCGACTCTGAAGTCATTGTGCTGCCTTGCAAATACACAGAGTGAGCAACACTGCCCTAACAATGTGGGTTTTCTTACTTTCCAGCAGATAAATAAAGCTATATGTATTTTTTTAAAACATAAAATTCATGTTAAATGCTCAGTAAATGGAAGCATGTGGGTGTTACTCAAGTTGCATTTCATAAGTATTCCAGAGGCACGAAAATCACGTTTGGGATGAATCAGACCTTTTTAAGCTTCTTACATACAGCTGTTGTACTGTGGCACCACGGTGCTGTTTTGTGATGGTCAGTGGCACTTGGAATAAATAAATGCAACTTTACATGTTTCTCTTTGTATTTGAGGGTTCAGCCCTTCTCCTTGCAGCTTCCATTAATAGAAGCCATATTGGTGATATTTTTTGTTGGTATATTTGCCTGTAACCTGGGATCTGGTTTCTCACCCTTTCTCCCATTTCTTTTTAATGGGAGTATGGCAACCTTGACATTTTTCCTCTTCTTCAAAATACTTCTCTTCAGATTTTGTACAGTGATCTCCTGCATGGGAAAAAGACCTTCAGCCAGGTTGGTTCTTCTAGAAGCATTTTTAATCCTGACCTTTGATCAAACCCTCATCTACCTATAAAGGCTCCTGTGCCCCTAGCTGCAAACTGTTTTCCCTTCAATCCACTCATTTCTTGACTTTGTCCTAAACTCGTGGTCTGGTTCCACATCAAATGCTGTCTTTCCAGTGACCGTGGTAAGCTGAACTTTACTGAGTTGTGCAGCACCAAAGTGCTCATCCTCTTGACGTAATGTTGAGCTTTTTTTCATAGAATACTTTGTCTTCACCACCCTACTGCAGCGTGCAGTCCCAGGTAATCAGATAAAAGGGATGTGACCCCATGTGGTTTCAGCACTGACTGCAGCCTGCCTGGAGGTATCTTCTGCTCCTCAAAGCCAGCACTGCGTGTCTGACTGAAGAAATAAGTCCTCAGATTGCATTGGCCCTTGGACTTCTGCAAACGATTTCAGCTGGCTCCTGGCTTGCAGATCTGGAGTCTTACAGTCAGTCAGGCCACGTGGTAAGCCCCACAGCTGGAAAGCCAGCAATGCACATAGGGAGTGAGCTGTCACAGGGCGGTGAGGCTGCAGCCAGCTGCTGTGGGATAAATAAACCTCCAACTCTTGAGTGCAGAAATCAGAACCTTCATGGAGTGGCTCAGACCAGTAAGCAAGATTGCTGCTTTAAACTGTTTATGGGTAGACTGGGGCAACTAACTTGGGAGATGTAAAGAACTCCCTTCACCTCTGTGTTCATAAAGCAGTAGAAAGATCTTTTTTGTTCATAAATGGACCTGAAGTGAGCTTAGGTTTTTCTTTTCTTTTTGCTTTTTGTAATGGATGAGCACAGAAGTGATCTTATTTACGTACAAGAACCAGTCAACCAAAAATGTAATTTCTGAAAGATAAACAGAGAATCTGTGAGGCTTTCGGAGAGAATCTGAAATCTAAGAGGAGGAAGGAAACAAATTCCTTGAGAAAGCGTTGCTGATATTTCTGCAGTACCTTCCCATTGAGGCAATGAACACTTTCTAGACTATTCAGACAGAAGTCTTTACTCCAGATGCTGTGGTGTGCTTCAGGAGCAAGCTGGCCACAGGATAAGGAGAGAATGTATCTGCCTTTGCTCTTTGGTGAGGACAATGAAAACGTGAACCATGAAGGTGTAAAATCCACATGCAAATGGACGTAACTTCTCCCCAGCATTTTGCTCCTCTCACCTGACCTGTGAGTCATTATAGGTGCTGGGCATATTTAACTGCAACTGTGACTCACCACTTAACCCTGGGGGCTGAGCACCTCTTCTCTGAGCCAGGATCTGACTTTTAATTAGTGACTGGGGCTGCAGGAGGACTCAGAAAGGTCCATCTGGGCTGCGCTCCCATGCAGCGCCTTGCACTGCGGCTTTAAGCCTGGCTTCTCTCAGTGTATTTAAAATGCACAGGAAGTATTTGTCAAATGCTGGTTTTAACAAGCGTCCTGTTTTTTCCTGATATTTCATCTCCTTGTAAGTCATGTTCCTAGAGGCAAGGTAAGAAGGAATAAAACTGCTGGAGCCTCTCTGCAACGTGAGCATCTTGTATACCTGGTATTTATGTAATGGTATTTGGGTATACGACAGGCTTAAGAACTGTTTCCATAGCAGGTCCATTAACCAAGACTCATTTTCCACGTGAATCAGCCACTGACACCCAGAACAGAGCACAGCTGGCTGTGTTGGGTTCTTTGTGGAGCAGCTGCAGCTTCTGATGTTGGCCAACACTGTAAGTGCCTCTCTGCTTGGGTTCGTCATGCGTTGCTTTTGTCTCTTGGAAAAGACCCAGTGGGTCTTAGTGCTTCTATGATTTGTGTTTGCACCCTCAGATGGGCTGGGGAGCAAGCAGCAGTGCTTCCCTCTGTCACAACTGTTTTCACTGTGTCCCTGGAGATCTCCTGTAGGCATCCTAACGTTCACACTGATCTGGCAGGCTGGAAGCAGATGGATCCAGCTACTTGAGGGCCTTCTCTGAAAGAGGGGATGCAAATTTTTAATAACTGCTCTTTGAGGCTGCCTTCCATCTCCAGTTTTAAGACCCGTTAGCCTGTCTGAGGGGAAAAAAACTTCAAACACAGGTGGTTGCAGCAGCACTTGTTTGCCCAGGGATGTGGTGGAGTCACCGTCCCTGGAGGTGTTTGAGAACCACGGAGATGTGGCACTGAGGGATGTGGGCAGTGGGCATGGTGGGGGTGGGCTGGGTGATCTTAGGGGTGTTTTCCAACTTCAGTGACTCGAGGTTCTGTGTTTGGTTTGATATGTGGTGCTCCTGATGCTTTCTAAAACCCATCTGGAAGCTTGAAAACCTATGAAAAATAGGTTTGGTTATGTTATTAGATAATGTGCTTTCTTGAAAGATCCATATATTAAAGTCAAAGAACAGTAGGATGGTTTGGGTTGGAAAGGATCTTAAAGATCATCCAGTTCATGTATCAGTAATCATAATAGAAGTTGCAGTTTCTCTGCAAGAAATGATGATCGTGCAAGCTGACTGCCTCTGAGCAATTCCTAATCTTGCTTTACAATAGCAAAGAATAAACCCATCTTTAAAAGGTCACTGTTGTCAAAGTTGAGGTCTGCTTTAAATTTCCCATTCTTAAGGCTTGAGGAGTTTTGTGAGATGCAGGTTTCTGCAGAATGTTGCTATAGTTTTAGCAAGGTTTAACTCATCTTCTCTTGGTTGCCTCTTAGGGCACAGTAAGGCTGTGTAGGGTAACATGTGAGTGTTGTGCCTATGCTGCTCACCTTGTGTGTATTTCTCTCTTCCCTCTGTAAGAAACTCTGGTTCACCATGAATCTTAAGGAAGGAGTTTTAAGCACACATTCCTTCCCTTGGGATTAGCAGTGGCTAAGGAGTACCTACAGCCTAGATGGCTCAACAGGGCATATGGTGCTTGTGATGCTGATGTATCTGAATTGTGCTTTCTGAGTATTAATTGGGACTCCAGCAATGACGACTGAGGGCTTTGATTCATG